TTCAAATCTTCCCACTGGTTATAGGTTACAAGTTTTTGCATTCAAGGAAATTTTCCTTAGTACAGACACAATTTAAACTCTTTTACTTGTAAACTACCAGATGTAAAAAAGATAATGGCATGCCAATACCTTTATCCTGTCTTCCCTTTTGTCTTCCTTTCCTGACAAATCAGTGGTTAATGCAGTGGAAAGCCTCTGCATATCTTTTCCCCAGTGTAATTCCTCACTTGTACAGCAACATTTCTTTCTGAAAGACAGCTGAGCCTTAGATTGTATGAATTACCACCCACACTAAAGTCATACGAATTTGGTCTTCATATATTCAATATCTTTGCTAAACACTTCTTCCTTCCCATTTATTTACAGTGCCCCTAATGCCTCTTTTTCCTATTTTGTTTTGTTTTTATTGTTGTTGTTTTCAAGATAGGGTTTGTCTATATAGCCCTGGCTATCCTGAAACTCACTCTTGTAGACAAGGCTGGCCTTAAACTCAGAAATGCGCCTGTTTCTGCCTCCCAAGTGTTGACATTAAAGGCATGAACCTCCACCACCCAGTTTATAATGATTACATGAGAATTTTGAAAACAGCTGTTACAGCCTTTCTGAATTAATTCCTACATCTGTGTTGTTCTGATATTGCCATATACTTATTTTTGTCTTTCCTTATGAAACATCAGATTCTTCATAATCTGAATAATTTTGGATAATATCACAGTCTTTTTTAACATTATACTAAGAATTTCTGAGGGCTGGAAAGATTGCTCAAGTGTTAAGAGTACTTACTGTCTTGCGAAGTACCCGAGTTTGGTTCCTAGTACTAGTACAACACCTGAAAATCCAATTTCAGGGGTTCTGACACCCTCTTTTAGCCTCCCTCAGGCACCTGCATGCACCTGGTGCACTTACTTGCAGACAAGAAGCTATACACATATACACATAAAAGAAAATAATTTTAAAAAGAACTTCTGAGTCTTGTTTAAATCCTAAAGAGACTTTCTGATGTTATTGTTTTTACAAGTTGACCAACTTAAGCCTAAGCTGAAAGTTTCTTTACACTTTACATATATTTTGGAACTAATATTGGTTCAATTCCCAAGATTTGCATATAATTAGAATCTGCCTCACTTACAAATCACACTATAACCTGGGCATGAAGGTATCTGTCATTTGGGCTGTCAGCATGTTTGATGCAGCAACTTGGATTATATCAGTGTATGTACAGCACAAGTACAAGCCCAGAAATTTACAGACAACTTCAAAGATCATTTTGAAAACTCCCCCTTTGCAGTCCTTCTCTATGAAGTCCTCCTCTCTGCAGTCTTTCTCTCTACAGTCCCCTTCTCTCTGCAATCCTTCTTCTCTCCACAGTCTTCCTCTTGGGTTACCCCACTTTTGGTGTATTTTAAGGCAGAGGCCAAATGGCCAGAGCACAGGTCAGCAGCAACAGATTCCCTCCTTTTTTTGACTGAGCTGAGCCATGAAGAAAAGTTCTCTCCCTCAGATGTGGCCTCTGCCCTCTGTACTGTGGGGATGCCTCAGTGGCTAGCACAAAACAAAGTACACAGGAGGCAAAACGAAGGATCTCTCTACATGGAGACCACAGTTCACTTCTAATTCTCCTTGTACAGAGATAAAGAGCAACTCTGGAGCTCAGCTTTCTTGCCTGGTACCAAGGCTTAGACTTTAGGCTCCATTGAATTTAGGTAAAACAGAGTAACTAGACAGAACACCTGATCAATGTGCTACCAGTTTACAAGAACTTCAAATTCTGATATTCAGAATCTTTACTCAGAATCTTAAAGCCGAGTCACCCTGATAAATGCTCAGGTCTTATCATAGGGCAGTACTAAAGGGGCAAAGGGAGGTATGTCACCTGGGTCTGTCCTAGAACCAGAATTATCCTACTGAAAATTTTAGAGGCCAGGTAATAAGGGCCTCTTGTGAGCTAGGAGCCCGCTGTGCTTTGCTTATATAACTAGCCCTTATAATCCCCACAATATATGTGTTGGAATAGTTATATATTACAATCTACATTTTACACAGATGGAAACAGATGCTTAGAAAAGATTAAGTACTTTACCAGTGGTTACCTGACTAGAAGCAAGACTCAGAAAGCCTTTATAAATCATGCAACAATGGATCCAGACCACCTGCACCCGAATCTAGTATAGCATTTATTAAAATTGAAGTTTCCTGTGCCCTACCTCAAACACACCAAAGTCAGACCTTTGAGAATGTGAGTATAAGATTCTATACATATTGAAGTTGAAAACCAATGCATTCTGTACCCAGTGAAGGAAACCATCAGTCTAAGTGACTATAAAGAGTATGTCAATATACTTCAAATAGAAATAGTCATAAATGTTGGCATCAATCAGTTTAAAATAGCTTACATATGCTCACTTTCCCTACTCTTCTACATCATGTTAAGGAACACAAAATAGAAATTGTCATAAACCAAGGTTCACTTTATATATAGCAATATATTTTTGACCCCAAGCCTTAATTTTTTTTTGTTCTGACTCTGGCCCCTGAAAACAAGAACTTCCAAATAGGGCTCCTCCTTAAAACATGTTAATCGGTCAGTATATCAAATTCTACTTTCTCATCAATTCATCACAGACAGTTGCCACCTCCTTTCCTAAGAGGCTGAGTTGCTGTGACTTTCCTAAAGAATCTGACTTAGGCTCACTTTTTTGAGGCCAGTTTGCATGAGCCCATCCCTATCAGATAAGTGTGAATGAAATAGAATGAGAAATTCATTGTTTGTGTATTACTGGTAAGAAAAGAGGAGTCGTATTCAAATAGAAATACAAAAGTTGTTTTTAATTGGATTAAAAGAAGTGAAGTATAAGTTTACACGTGATAACATAATTGCAAACATTAAAAAAAGTCTACCAATCTTCAGTGCTCACTCAGTAACTCCAACAAATGACCTACATAACACTGAAACCCTCCGCACATTTCCTCCCAGAATTTTTACAGACACTCCTTTGATGGCTCATAGCAGGGATTATCATTCCTAACTCACATATGGGAAAATCAAAGTCAAGTGTGCCATTATCTAAGCCCTATGACAGTCTCCCTTTGGAAGCAATGTGCAAGCATATCATAACAGTAAGTCATATGTTAGTACTGAAATGTGTGGCAAATATTCTGCTTGGAAATAAGTCTTTTCCAGAAAGTGTCCTTATAGATACTTAAGAAGAAGTTTAAACATTTCAAAGTAAGCAGCAGTAATGAATCAAAAATTAAAAACAAAACAAAGAAAAACATGTCAACTTGGGGAGGGGGAAAGAGGGCGAGAAGCAGAGAGAGAGCGGCTCTAAACATGTGGCACAGAAGGCAAATCTGTACTTGTTTAAAGTACAGAGCTGCAGTTTCCATCTCTTGTTGAGTACATAAATGACTTCACAGGCAACGGTTTCCGTATGTTTCATATTTTTAAAGCTGACCATTTGTAATAAAGATTCTTTGATCCCAGATCAAATGTTTGAATCAATTTTCTCTACACTCTCTGAGTCGCTATTACAAAAGCTTCCCCTCTTCCCACATCAGCTGAGCCAGCCCTTCCTGCAGTGGGAACCCTCTCCACTTGTCACCTTTTCTACAGGCTTCCCACCTCTTGGTGCGATATTTAGCTCTGCTTGTTAACCTCTCACACAAAAGAGGCTCCGTAATATAATAAATAATTCTTGTGCATAGTAAGCTAACTACTATAATGAAAACGGTTCCTCTGAGGAGTTCAGGAACCTTAATAAGACAGAAAGCTTATGGTGACAGAGTTGATTAAAAAAAATGTAATTCTTTCTGTCAGGAAAAAGGTTTTCACAGGTGAAACCTTAGTCTACACGCAAGAAAAAATAAAAACAAACATATTTTCACAACCTTATATTTCTTGGATTTAAACTAGTGAAAGTGAAGTGACACTCTGAAATTTTCAAAATTCTGTACTTTATTTTTAAAATGATCTTAAAACAGAAGATCTAAATTCAAGGTAAAAGATGAAAATATTAAGAACTGTCTAGGCAATGCCAAAAATTTAGCAGATTCCTAACTTAAATTGGTTCAAGTATTTCAAGGCTTTCTCAGGCCTTGCTGAAAAGAAATATTTCTGCTATAACTCCAGTTTCTAAAATATTTAAGCATGAATTTCACAGAAGGCCATTCATTAAACAAAGGTAACTGAAAAAAAAGTCTTATAATTTCTAACAGAATGTAAATTTAACTTGCAAATATTTCACTTATATTTGGGCCTGATTAAATATGATATAGGGGAAAGGGAGGAATCTGGGGTCAGTAGAGAAAAAAGGAGAAAAGTCACAGGACTCAAAATAGAGAAAAGTATATATGTATATATGTATATTGAATGTATATATATATGTGTGTGTGTGTGTGTGTGTGTGTGTAAAAGAAAAAGAGGTCATCAATTTGAGAGGAGTTGAGAAGGGTACAGGAGATGAGTTGGAGAGAGAAGAGGGTAATGACATAATTATATTTTAATTAAAATTAAAAATTTTAATTGAGAAAATTTTAAGTTATAATTTCTCATTTAAACTAGATACTACTCAAAACTAAAGAAGCCAATAACAACAAAAATTCTCCAGAACACACAAGGTAGAAGGATACCTACACATGCATACCTTAGTATGTACACATAGGTAAGCATATAACATGCAAAGAAAGAATGGAAGGAAGGAAGGAAAGAAGGAAGGAAGGAAGGAAGGAGGGAGGGAGGGAGGGAGGAAGGAAGGAAGGAAGGAAGGAAGGAAGGAAGGAAGGAAGGAAGGAAGGAAGGAAGGAAACAAAGATGATAGGGGAATGATTTTCAGACCAATGACTCATCATTTGTATCAGGTGGTGTACTAATAGGTGCTAACACAGGAAACTGAAGTAGTTGGGACTCAGTAACACCATCAGGCAAAATTGTACTCTCCCTCAGTTTTTACAAAATGAACAGCTGAACCTGCCACCCACCAATTCTGGTAATTATGGATTACCTTGCATACAACAGCAAACTGTTGGTTATTTCCTGCTCCAATTACAAGATAGCCATCCTTGGTTTTAAAAGCCTTTAAAAGAGACAACAAATAAATATGTAAGTGTATGTCTATACATGGATAAGACCAGAAAATTAGCTTAAATTACCGATAATTCTATATTGAAAACTTAATATACTTAGATGTTGTCCATCAATTCAATAGCAACCTAGTGCATATATTTCTCTTTTTTTTTCATTTAAGACTTTTGAGCTGCTTCCCAACTCTTGTACCAACTTTTACAACATGGGAAAAAGTGACAAAAAATTTAAGAAAATACTAAGCTAATGTTTCATAACTCAAAATTCTACAATCATTGCACTGTAGATTGATTTTTTATATTTCTTATAGAATTTTGTATGGCAATAAATACAATTATTTATAAAGAGCAAGAAGAATAGATGTAGAAAAAAAAGGAGTGAAACTTTTGGGTGTGCCTACTTTCTCCCAGAGTGCCTTCCTTTCTCTTTACTCCTGTGCTTAAATCTATTCTGAAGTATTTTTAATAAACTCCATCTCAACTTCAGACTTAACTCTTTCTGCATCAAAGCCAAAGGAAGATTCAGTTTTATATGAGTCAAGATACTATCTCAGCCTAGATACACAGGTTAGGTCATAGGCTTGACAGATTTTGATGATCCCTCATGGAAGGCTGCACCCTCCCTGGGGAATGGATGAGGAATGGGATGAGGGGGTTGGTGGGAGGCATGGGAGGACTGAAGGGAGAGGGAACTGGGATTGATATGTAAAATAAGATAGTTTCTAATTTAAATAAAATTTACATTTAAAAAGACTCCTAAAGTTAAGGGCCCTTTTTAAGCTGATGAGGGCAACACATTTGAGCTGTGCCTCCATCTCTGACTGATCAAAAGGAGGCTGCAGACATGCCACAGTGGATAAGTGCCTGGCTGTTCTTCTAGAGGACCTGGGTTCTATTGCTACCACTCACATGGGAAATAACAGATCTGATATCCTCACAGACATACATGTAGGCAAAATTCCAATGTTGTACATGAAGTAAATTTTAAGTAATTTTTTTGGTTTTCTGTATAACATCCCTGGCTGTCCTGGAACACACTCTGTAGACCACACTGGCTTTGAACTCATGGAGATCTGACTGCCTCTGTCTCCCAAGTGCTGGGATTAAAGGTGTATGCCACCACCACCCAACTAGTAAATTATATTTTTTAAAGATATGTGTCACAACATGCCAAAAAAGGCAGAGAAGGGAGGAAAGGAAGGAAACAAGCAAGGAAGGAATATGGCTACAGATTAAAAGGACTAGGTTAGATTTTGAGTAGCTTTAATAACTATTCCCTATTAATATTTTAAAGTATTCATGAAACAAATAAATTTTATATAAGAATATTTTTAAAAACTGAGTTACCAACATAGAAAACTGGGCAAAGAAAAACTATGACAAGGAATAAATAAATTATCCATATACTATACACTACTATAACCCAAAGAAACAGGTTATCACAGAACTCTTCTTTCTGTTTCCATATACACATTTATTAATATTTTATTACATTGTAATATTTTATTACATTGCTACTGTTCTTTTTAATATCCCCTCACAAGGATATTGGAATGTCATTATTTTAATAACCTATATATATATATATATGTGTGTGTGTGTGTGTATATATGTGTGTGTGTGTGTGTGTGTACATATCCAAATTTCAATTTCACTATTTATTTAACTGTAAGATGTCTTTTGTTTCATTTTATTAGTTTTAAAGTAAGTATTACTGTGACTTATGTGATTTTAAATCTAATTTACAGTGAAACTAACAAAATGTCTATACTAATTTATATTCTTTAAAATATATTCTTAACAAATACACTAAACTAGATAATTAAACCCTAGAACTATTTTACTTAACCTATACAGTATCAAGCATGTGACATAATTTTGAAGGCTCAGTTTATAATTCTATAGAATAAGAATGATTAGTACTTAACTTTAAAGTTATTGTAATGATTAAGTTTTTAGGTTACATTTATTCATCCATCTAACATAATACACTGTCTCCTCAGACACTGGGTATGGTGAGTAAAAAAATAACAGGGACCCTTCACATAAGACTTATATTCTAATAAAGTAGCAGATATCAACCAAATATTAATGGAAATAATGGCACACAGTGTCAGGTTTTAGAATGGAAGCATACAGACTATAAATAGTCCTAATACTGTTTGAGTTGAGGGATAAGAAGCAAAGAAAAACTCCCTTAGGAAATGCTTTCTGAGTTGAGAACTGAGAATTCATATGTGTGTGCTGAACAGAGTTGGGGAAAGTACATTGTTGATAAAGGAAAGAAGAATAAGTTTGGGAGAAGTAATATTTGTAATAACCCACAAAAGGAGAGAGAATAGCACAAGTGAGACTGCAGAAGAGGAAAGAGAGAGCTGAAGATCAGAGAAAATATGTTATGCACCATAAAGCTGAGATGAAGTCCCTAAAAGGGCTTGACGGATCATGCCTGTATTTCAGAAAGACCTCTCTTTCTTCAGTATAACCACTGGTTAGAGCATGAGACTAGAATTGAAGAAGCTGATTAAGAGACTGTTGTGATGATCATGACAAAAGATAGGATAGTCTTAGACTAACAGCCAAGTGAGTAGAGACAGAAGGAAATGGGGGTCAATGAATAAGTAAATGGGGAAGCTAGTGGAACTTATAATAGAGTAAGTCTGGTGCTTACAAACTGCAGGCTAAAGGAAAGGAAGATGGCATAGGTGACACTGATACTTACTTGCAAGAACTTTGTGATATTTCCCAGAGAAAATTTCACAAGTGGGAACCAGACTAAAAACTAAACCATAGCTAAAATCTTGGCAATCATTTGCTCATGATGCAGAACTGAAGAAATCACAAGAGTGAAATCATTTAGCAAGAGATGGAGTAGAGTGTGGACTAACAAATGCCATTGGGGCAACATTTTATGCTCTCAGAAAGAACTTCCCCAATGGCTCAAGATGCAGGTAAAGTGAGTCAAGGATGAAACAGCACTGGGAGACTCCAGGTAAACATATGAAAACCACATCAGCAAAGTCTGGCACAGGTGTGGATGTAGACAAGCCTCCTACATAGAGAGAATGGAAGGTACCAAAAATATTCCCAGTGCTTCTGCTTTCTCATGCAAGAGTGGTGATTTGGACTTGTTTAGGGAATTTGAGACAAGATGAGAAAGAATTCCACAGTTTGCTACAGACAATGAGAAAGCAAAGCATTTCAAGAAACACAATTGGAAGTGGATGTGTTGAGATACCAGATAGGTACTTCCTTATCATGTTTTAGTTACCTAGCCTTAGAATAAACACATACTCACATGTATTATGTTTAGGGTCTCTCCAGATAGATATGAAAAAGAAAACAAGTATTCAAAGATTAGAAAACTGCTGGGAATATTATAGAGCAATTAGGCATTAGCCATGAACCTAAGGAAGAAAGTTGTAAAGAATAGAAGAGTCTTAAACAAGGAGTATGCACGGTGCCAGTCAATGAAGAGCCCACCCTGAATAGTCATGATGGAGGGAATTTGAGAAAGCGAGGTGAAATAGCAGGACACAATAAATGCTCACAATGGAAAAGCTTCATTCAGCAGTTCTAGAAGGAAATTAGTTTCAGGTTATAAAGAGAAAACTACAATATGTACTGCATAAAGCTATTTCTGATATGAAACAGGGACTCAATTTCTGCCATTGTATCAAATAATTACTATCAGATCTACACACAGAGAAATCCCAGTATATTCAAAGCCCGAATATCCCAACACTAGTCCTCACCACTTTGTAAACAATTCCTTGTAATTCACTTGACTGCACATTAACCAGATTATGCAACACATGATGCCATGTTCACATCCTAAACTCACCTTTCACTGCAGCGAGTCATTAAGATAACTAGCTTGGTTGTAGACATTCATGGCTGAATGTTCTTATCTCAAATGAAAAAAACAACCCCTGTTTCTGCATGGTGGAAGGGTGTCTATTGGTTCTCAAGAACAAGGTCAGAGCGAAGCCTTTCCTCACAAGACACCAGAATTTATCTTTTGAAATTCTACTTTCTATCAAGTGTGTTTCACTGAAGATGGCAAGATTCCCAAATAGAATCTGCAAGATGATCTAGAATGTTGGCAATTCACAGTATTAGATATCCCAACAATCCAGGCCAACTTCATGAGCAAGAAGACATGAGAGTTCAAACAGTTAGAGAAGTTTCAAAAGCAAGAGGTAACCACATCTGAGGTTTAGGGGTAGATGTGCAGAACATGAGGCCGATATTAAGGGAGGGTAAAGAGAAAATCATTCTAGAATTTAGGCTGCACATGGAAGTTTCCCAGAGATAGTGTTTTCTGAACTTCCAGACTTCAGCCTAGCTCAGTAACTTCTGAATTACTAATGTGACCAAAAATAATAACACATACAGACTTCTACAAGCCCCTCACTAATTGAGTATAACTGATACTCAAACAGAAGGGCTATAGGTGGGAATATAGTTATGCCTTTCTGTGCTGTACAATTTCTTTATAAATTTCCCTCTCTGGGGAGGACTGATGAGCAAAGGGGTCAATACTGGGCTGGTTTAGCCCACAGTAACAGCTGACCTGAACAAGGGGGGAGCTCTTGGATCCCAGACTGATGGCTGGGAGGCTAGCATGGGACTGATCAAGACCCCCTGAATGTGGGTGTCAGTGAGGAGGCCTAGAAAATGTATGGGGCCTTGGGTAGTAGAACAGTATCCCTGACATACAAATGGACTTTGGGTGTCCATCCCACAATGAGGGATGCCTGAACTCTTGGGGGGAGGGCCTAGGCCCTGATCTGAATAAAATGACAGACTCTGGAAATCCCCCATGGAGAGCCTTACCCTTCCTGGGGAACAGAGAGGAATTGGGTGGGGGTGGGGGAAGCTGGTGGGGAGGAGGAGGAGGAGGGGAGGGAGTGGTAGCTAGGATTCACATGTGAATTAAACTTGTTTCTAATTTAAATAAAATAAAAAATAAAAAATTCCCTCTCTGGAT